GCAGAAATATCACATTTATTTCTAATAATTTTACAGTATCTAAATTTTTTTAACAATAGACAAGAAAAATAAATAAATTTATTTCTAAGAATTTACAGTATTTAAAATTTCTAACATAGATAAAATATCACACTTTTATGAAAAGATTATTTTTCAAAATAATGAGGTCGCTTGCGCATGAAATATATCGTGCCTAAAATTCATGATAATAAGCAGAAGTGATTATTTCATTTTTTTTAAAAAAAAAAACTGATTATTTTTCAAGATAATGAAGTCACTTACCTAAAACATTTGAGAGGAAGCTTTCGATAAAAATTCGGCTAGAGAGAGAAAGAGCTCACTGTGTTTCGACTAGAGAGAGAAAGATCTCAAAAGTTTTTCTAGGGTGGAAGTCCTCACCTTTCTTATTTAAATTCGTAAGACATATTATTATATTATCTTATTAAGCTCCACCTTATACATGAGGTGTGACAATACTATTAAACGTGAAATCTTTAAAGCCCACGTCAACTAAAGGACGTGGTAAAGGAAAGGAAAAGTTAATAAAAGTGGTGATGGTCCCTAAGGACCATAGTACTTATATAAACCATCACATTATAAAAAAGTATTTATTTATTTATTTTTATTTTTTTGAAAGTTTAGGATTGTTACACATACAATGGCACGCTACCCCATGGCTCTCTATGCCACACCTACATCATTAACAGGAGGTGACTTGCCAGCCACATGCTGGCCATTGGCCACTTCGGTGCCACATGTGAGGATGTCTATATTTGGTATTTTACTTTTAAAATCTTTTTTAAAAAAATCTCAATAAACTAAAAGTCATTGTCAATAATTCTCTATCAAATAAGACTAGTTTGATATCTTAGATAATATATAGCAGGAAATTAGGATCATTTTTTGAAATGAAGTCGAGTACTATAGCACATTTTGCTAGATCCATAATCTTGAGCCATTTTCTCGAGCTAACCTAACAAGACCCATATCCTACCTGACTTTGGCAGGGGTCACTGCTTAGTTTATCAAAGTTGGCCTAACAGATAGTTGGATCTATTGGTGTTATGGCCTTTCAAGGCCTTGAAACCACCATTTTCATAGTTCTTGTGCTCCGTAGGAGTGAACAAGAAAACCATGACTCACTAGATCATTGTGAGATGGGATCCAAAGTTGGTGTCTAGAGAGTCACAAAATCCTAGATCATGAGGCAAGTTTATAAAAGACAATTACCTGAGAGGGATTTGATAGTCACTTCTAGTCAAGGTGAATAAGAATACCTCATAATCATTATTTTTGTTAGGGAAACTTGGAAGGCAGGTTGAAACCACCCTTCTCGATCGGCGGTTCTAGGCTCGATGTAACCATGTTGTTTTTGTAACTGAACCTTTAGTATGGGTGTTGAGGTTAAGTAACTTTGATGATAAACCCGCCATGGGGTTTCTGTTCGATGCAATGAGATGTGCAAGGGAAGCTATATTTGAGAATAACATATGGAATGAAGAGATATTAGAAGTTGTTGATCGTAGGTAGAGAGACCAACTGCCCCAGGATATCCATGCAGCAGGTAATTTATGATTCATTGTCGCAATTCATAACTCTTTCTCAACTCCAATAAAAGTTACCGTAATTAATAATATAACAAACCATGTGCATGGTTCTTTCTTAATCCATAAAATTTGTACTCCAATGCCACTTTAGATGATGCATATATCATGGAGGGGGTAAGAAACTGCATCTATAGGTTTGAACCTGATCTTGAAACTCAGATGGAGTGTATGCAATAGGTAAACATTAATCAAAATGTGTACGTAATAAAATTTCAATTTACAATAATGAATTGCATTTCTATGTAATACTAATTTCTTGTATATGCATCTTGTTATTTCTAGCTTATCATGTACATCAAAAAAATGGGGAATTTGCATACAACAATGCCAAAAATGCAGCTGCAAAATTACACCCAGGTTAGTTTTAAGTTAAAACTCGCAATAGTTTAGTATGCTACTATTTGTGGTTTTTTTAAAATCAATTTATTTCTATTGTTAATTATTTCTATGTTTGTCAGTGCCAACACAATGGTGGACGATACACGGAATTCGAACAAAGCAATTACAAAAGATTGCCGTTAGAATTTTAAATCAAACCTGTGCTACCTCAGGCTGTGAGAGAAACTGGAGTACATTTTAGTGGATACGCGCCCTGAGGCAGAATAGGTTAAAGACACAGACGTTGCACAACTTAGTGTACATTCATTATAATTTGAAATTGAGAGAGAAACATAAAAGGAGGACCCCCACAGACTACACGACGAGCAAGCTTAATTACATCTTCCGGAGGGACCTCGCCGATGAGTAGGTGTCACTAAGGACCCCACTACTAGACCAAGATTTTCTTAGTGGGCTAGTTGTCGAAATGGATGATAATGTGAATGTTGCAGCATCTAATGAAGGAGACATGACAATGGACATGGATAACGGTTATACACAGGATGAAGATGAGGCACATGATGATGAAACAGATGAGACAATGGAAAACAATTGGCAAGAACTAGTCATCCAGGAATATGAAGGGGCGCAACATGATGCGATGCATAATGAACATGAAGATTTAATGAGATTAGCTGGGGAGGAAGTCCAGACATTGAGGCATAGGAGTTACTCAACAAGGGAGAGACAGAGCCGTAGCCGTCACCGTAATCTGGTTATTCATGATGATGATAATATTGAAGATACTGAGGGCCATAACACAGAACAGGGTGGGGGTAACATAGAACAAGGTGGGAGTAACACAGAACAGGGTGGGGGTAACACAGAACAGAGTGGGAGTAACACAGAACAGGGTGGGGGAGAGCATGAAGACTGGACAAGTCTAGGAGACTTTGGCCAAGGGGGTACCACAAGAAATCTTCCTGACTGGCGAGGGGGCACAACTACGACATTACAGACTCCACCAAGCCTTACTCAAGTTTTTCACCCCGTAAATCCTGATAGTGAAACACAACAATATCATGATCCCCCTCGTCACTCTCATTACTACTAGCATTAGTTGGACTTTGTAATTTCATTAATTGAATTAATGTCAAATTCTAAATTGTCTTGCATATCTTCATAGTATTCAAATATTAATTTATATAAAAAGTTGTTTTAATTTTTTTGTAAGATAAATCTATGTAATATAATAGTATATACTTAATTTAAGTTTTTCTATTTCTTTTCAATTTTTTTTTAAATTTTTTGGACGTTTTTTACTTTTATTTTAAAAAAAAGAACTATTTGAACGGTTAAAATGGTTAACCGCCCCGGTTAGTCCGGTTCCGGTTCAAACCGCTCCCAGCCCCAAAACCGGTTAACCGTTCCGGTTCGATTTTGCGAATATTGCTCCAAATTCTATCAAAAGAGGCAATTATGACGCTAAAAACTCTATCATCATCATTATTTTAATAATTTTTTAATTAATTGGGGTGCCATATCTTTTGCGAGGCCATAAGTCCTCATATCTTATACGTTAAAAACTCTAACAATGAATGTAAATCTATCTCTAATCCTAACTATAAAATCTAAAGCTCCACAAATTGTGATCATCAAGCATACCTAAAAATACTCGAGAATCTATAAAATTTATCTAGGATAATATGTTGTAAGATGTAGTTCCTTTTTTTTCCTTTTTTGTATAATGTCCATTGAGGTCGATACGAACAATTGGAGGGGTTTTTTTAACATCAGAAACATATTTTCCAGTGAATTTTGGAGGTGGCCTCTTTAAATTCCAGTGAATTATCGAACCCTAAAATTTTATCAAGATTCGGGGCCAGGTAGTATGTCTTTGCACTTATTTGTTTTCCTTTTTTTCCCTGCTGATATGAGAGAGGTCTTGGCTGCGAAATGAGCTAGAGAGAGAGCTGAGAGTTTGTTGGGTGCTGAGCTAATGGAGATGGGTCTGTAACTTAAATCATCAGAGAGAGAGAGGGAGAGGTGAGCGTTTGTGTTGGTGGTATGTTAATGGAGATGGGTCGGTCTTGGACCATGACTGTCTTCACCCAATGTGCTCTATTTATCTTACTCTGGGTTGCCTTGTACATGGGCAAGAGTGAGAAACCCAGGAGAGCCTCGCCATTGGATCTCTACTTCATCAGTGTGGGTGGCGGAGAAAGGCCACCCAGTGACCGTACTTTGCTTCTTAGACAGGTTGGCTTCTCAGTTTATCTAATTTGTGTTGCTGGCTCTCATGGATTTTGTGTCACATGCAAATATCTTTTTTCTTCTCTTCTGTTGCGAAAATTTAAGTTTATCTACTTGGTTCAAAATCTAGACAGTTTCATGCGTTTGGGTATCTTTCTCTATGACTATATGGCTTTTTCTTTTGTTTACTGATGCAACTTGGTTTCCGGATTTTCATATTTTGTTGCACTGTATTGTTCTTTATTGTTTCTCTCTTTAAAATTTGATAAATCTGCTGCTTACCTTTTAACTGTTTTCTTCTTTGTTTGTTTTTTTTTTTTTTAACTTTCATTATTTTCTTCTTTGTTTTCCTCTTGCAGGTTCTTATGTGTTGTACATCTGTTTCTGATCTTCTTTATTTTCTTAATTTTCCTTCATCATGTCTACTGCTTCGAGGCTCTTTTTCCTTCATAAGACTTAAGTGTGTTGTGCTCAAAATTTGAATCTAGATCTTTTCCTTACTTGGTTGCCTTAATTGCCTCTTTCCCCTCTCTTCTTCTTTAGTTTTGATTAATTATTGTTGGTGTACCAATTAAAGATGGAAAAGACGGCGAGGTTTTACAAGGTTAAATTTATTGTGAGCATTGCTGAACTAGGTGAGGAGGATCCCTTAGTGAAGAATGTAAGATATTTCTTTCTTTTCTTTTCCTTTGGAAGGAATCACAATGTTATGTGCTTGACTAAAGATAGTCTAGCTGATGCTTTATTCTGAAGTAAAGTTATGTTCCTCTTGATTTTCGTGGGTTGATCAGTTATTCTTGTTGTATAGAGTTAGGGAGTGCTATCTCGTGGTAGTCCTTTTCTCAACTAATCTGATCATATGAAAAATGGAATAGAAACTGAGGTGAACTGTGCTTCCTTTGCAGGCTACTTTGGAATTCCCATCACTAAAGGTTCCATGGTATACCATCATTTGAAGAGAACTGCTGTAAATTGACTGTATCAGAATGTTTATTTTAGTACGAGCTGCTCAATATTGGCCTTCAAAAACCTTTTCTTGGGATTCATTCACTTATCAAAAGGAAATCTTGGGAGTCTTTTAAGTCTTCTTCTGAGTTTATAATACCACAGGAGTCTAAGAAAGGAGATTGAAATTCTTCTTACCTGAGCAATGGGTTTTGTAGGTATACAAGTGGATCAGGAAGGGGATACTTTTGGAAGCAGGTTTCAATTCCATATGATCGTTTTCTTGATATTTTTAGTGTAGATACCAGATCTTTGCAGGTATTTACCGCTGGATCCTATGATCCTTCTGTTTCTTTACTTTCCTGTTTTTGTGTTATAGGAATCTAGAATGATATTGCTGAAGGGATATTGTTATGGACATCCAAAATGTTTTCTCTGCCTATATAATCCTCTAATCAGAACTTTGTTGGCTTGATATCTGTAGCTGTTTGTTATGTTGAATACTCTGTTATGGCAGTGTGCCCATTTATACCATTTGGGATCTTGGTCTCAAATCCCTTTCGATGATTTGAGAAGCCTAGCTCTTGAAGAAGAGACCTCACTTGTTCACATTGTCCAATAGATTTTATTGAATCATGGCCTAATAGTGGTTTACATACCTATATATATGATGGAGTGTACATCACAAGTTGTACTACTTTATCAGGTAAGTATATGACAAGTAAAAAACATGGCTAAAATGTCGATGCTTGAGTATGCTCCTCAAATTGGGAAATTATCTGCCTTCCGATTTTTCCTATCAGTTCGAGAAAAAGTTCTTTGGCTTTGCCAAGAAATTTAATACATAAGTTGGTCAATAAGGCATACTTTCCTGTTTTTCTACTCATAAGACTAAATTTTCACCAGTAACTATGGAATATTTCCACAGTAGATTTTGTAAGCAGTGGTTAAAAGCGCAAACATGTGCTCAGATACACCAGGTTCCGAGCCTTAGTCAGTGGCCTGACTCAGCCGAGTTGGACTGTGTTAGAGGTCATAAGTACACAAAAATTTGTGACTCAGTGAGATTCGCCCGAGTCTCAGGGTTATTTGTCCAGACCTGGCATCCTGCTGGGTCCGTGTGACTCAGGTGAGTCTGAGCCGAGTTACCAACTTTTTAGTCGCTGTTGTAGGGTACCTAGTATGCAGTTTTCATCGTGTAGTTCTAGTCTAATGCTTTTTGGCTACGGCACGGCAAGTTTTTCTTAGGGTTAAGAGTTTTAATGATAGGCTAGCATTCTTACAATGAAAAATATGGTATATGAGCAATCTGTTTATTAGAAATACAAACCAGTTTGGCTGACTCCACCTAGAATTTATGAGGAATATGGGACGGAGAATACTAGACCATTTATTGATTCTACTATTAGGTGAATTTGAGCATAAAAGTGAAGACCTTTAATGCATCTTGCCTTGTACATGATCTCATTGAGTTATTTTCCTAATGAACTTTGTTTAAATCATCTTTAAATATTATAGAGGGGTCACCCACTTTGGACCTAAGCTGAGTTGAACATATATTTGAATATAAAGGATAACTTTTCCCTCTGATAATTTGTATATCAAGGATAATTATAATAAGGCACAGAATAGTACACAGATTTAGCTCAGTGTGACTCCTACATGTTGAGAAACAACGTCTAATAAGAAAGTTGAAGCATGGTTCCTATTGGGATAGAATCAGCTAATCAGTTTGCTTAGTGCTGACTTTTTCTAGCCATAAAATAGGAATACTGTTAAAGAGTAAATCTTATCTATTCCTCCTTGTTATTTATTTGTTTATTCCCAAACACATCTGATTTGGATGTTTGATTAACATTCTCTTAGTGAAACAGTCTAACCATCCAATGGCCTCTGCCACTCAGGTTCTTGGATTAGAGTCCTATAAAGAAGACAACAAGAATAGAACATCCAAAATCCAATTCAGCAAGTTGGCCCACTGAAATGAATTTTGTGAATAGGATAATAGAATGCAACCAAGAGAAACATTATAACTATGGTGTGAAATATTATCAGTGAAACACAAATTAGTTGTCCTTTTTGAGAAGTGAATGTTTTTTTATTATTTTCAATTACCTATTCTCTTTCATTATGGTATCTTTGCTATGCGTTCTGTGTTATTCTAAAAGTCACATGTTTTTGTACTTCTTGATCCTTTTGAGGTGCCTGTCATCACTCCTGTCCCCACACATATAGATGGATCTTTAATTGCACGATAGAGTTCTCTGAGAATATCTCTCTTTTCTCTCATGAAATTTGATTACCATTTTGGCGACGAATACTTCTTGATATTTTAATGTGAAATATTGATTATTTTCAAATTTATACTCCTTAGGATTGTTTGCAGACAAGACCAGCAACAGTTGATGAAAGAGATCAACTAGAATGGCTTGTGGAGAAACTTAAAGCTACTAATGGTATCTGGTATGCAGTCATAATAGAGCCGTTGTCATTAACTTGGAAGATGAGCTGCTTTTAGTTGTAATGTTATACTATACTGTAAATGTGCTTGTTTGGAGGCATGTCATGAAATGTTTTATTATTTTAAGTCATATTCTGCTTTTCTCATTGGGAAAAGATAGCACGAAATATGCTATTGTTTCACTGAGTTACAGTGAAATTCTCTTAGGAAGAAACTATATCTCCTTGAGGAAGCATATCTTCTAAAAGTGCAAAATAAAAACCCAATAAGTGCTTTCTTCGTTAAGAGACAATACATTGTCTGGATTACTTTTGTTTCAAATCAAACAGTGTTTGAAGAAAATAAGAAACAGCATGAATGTTATATATAACCAAAGTACCAAGCATACATCAACATGACTTTGTGTGAAGATCTAGGGCTAAAATGACTGAAAATACTCCTACATTTAAGTAGGTTTATTATTTATTTTAGATTGGATACTTAATCTTTTAGTAGGGCTAAGATTTGCACTAATGTTGTTGCACTTTTCCCTTGTATTTGACAAAGTACCAAGAACATCACCTGTTCACCTCAGAAAATTCTATTATCCGTAGTTGAATATGAAATATGCCCTTAACAAATATAAATAAATAAGGAAAACCTTACCTTAATGAAAAATTGCCCAATTAAAACAACTCTAGAGAAGACTGCACTTAAATTAAAAAATAAGTCTACAGAAGAATGTGCTACTTGCTTATTTTACAGGTCGTGAACTTTAAAAGATGCCTCTAACCTTAACAAAATTGTTAATTGAAAACAAAAAAACAGATTTTGATGTTTTAAGGTCAGATTAGAAGATTAATCTTATATAACAGGACTATCCATTTTACAGGACATGGATATGGGAAAAATTTCTATGAACAGGACTATCCATTTTTACAGCAACGAGCCCCCCCCATGCTCCCCACCTCCCCCCACACACCCACCCCCCACCCCACCCCACAAAAAAAAACCATCTGTTTATTGGATGGCCTCTCCTGCTCTATCTGCAACCATCCAACAAATGGACAAGAATATCATATTAAATTTTTTTCCTTTTTTTTTGGGTGTGCTTTGCAAAATTTCTTGTCCTAAAAATCCTAGTAACATGGTATTTTTGGGGTCTGTCAACATTGACAGCAGACAGCCCCATCCACTGGCAGTTTGTGCTATAGATAGGATGTTATTGAGTGTTGAAATATCGATATGTAGCTCAAACAAGGAAAAGAAAGAAGGGATAGGCAGAATTTGTGTGTTTTTGTGTTTATGTGCATGTGTATGTGTAATTGTATTCATGTTTGTATAGTGCTTGATATATTTTTTAATATAAACTGATGCACTCCAAAAATATGATGAAAAAGATTACTACAGGACACATGCAAAATGTGATTCCTAGCCTTCTCTCCGATATTTTATGCCTGTGTTTTGGAGTTATATTTTCCGCTGCTAAGAGCTTCAACAAAGAAATAATCTGCTTGTTCTGCTGCCTGTCTGTTTGTAGTTTTGTCATCTTTTGTGAGGGCCTTTCCTTTAATGAAATGACAATTATCTGTGATTTGTTTTCTCAAATTATAAAATAGCTTCGATTTTTGTGGTTATTGCTATGAAAAATATTGTTGTTTAGTGAAATGATGTGGTGGACAAGCTGGTTGAAGGAAGCGGTAGGTCTAAATGCATTACACACATGGACCCATAGTGTGTATGCTCCTCTTTTGATGTCTACCCGTATCTCTTACTGTAATCTTGCCCCTAACTCCCTTCTCTACTTCACTTTCCTCCTTAGCACGTAGGATATATGTCTCTGTATGCACTCTCAACTGCAACTTGATGTATATCTCATTTTCTTTATAAACTGTTAATTGACATTATAAAAAGAAAGATTGCACAAATATTTGAGAAACTCAACAAGTTTCCTGAGTTATTTGTTTAATTAGGCTAGTCGACTTCGTTTTGGCATTGATCAACTCGGTAACTGAATTTGAGGTTTTGAACATTGATTGTTGTAGCCCTCAATCACCAATTTTGATTATATAGTTTCTTAATAGTTGCAGCAATTGATAAGAAATTAGTCATTGCAAACCCTGAACAATCCAATACATACTTTTTATGGATAACGCATGTATTAGGGTCTCTTGTTGAGTTTGATTCATGTTTAATCTTTAGAATAGTCAAGTCCCTTGTGTCAATGTTTCATGAAGATATTTCTTAGCTTAGTATAACTTTATGCTATCATAAACTTATCCATTCTATCATTATTTTTAGGGAAGTTTATTAAAATGGCCATAAGAGATGAATTGTTAGAAATCTTAGCCATTTGCAAATATTCCAACTCATGATCATGTGGATTTTGATGAGTTTTTGGTAACTAAAATCAAAAGATATGGGTAGAATATTAAATAGTTCATTTCTTATGTGTATTTGGATAAGTTTCTTCGTTTTTTTTAATCAATGTTCACATCTTCTTGTAGCAGGACTTGCAATTAGTTTCTCTAGCCTCATTATATATATATATATATATATATATATATATAGATATATATATATATATATAGATATATATATATATATATATAGGAAAAAGCTAATAATAGCTGGGCAGCTATAATGAATAGTAATATAGGTAGAATGGGAGTCGTCAGATCTTCATCATGTGGTTCAAAATACATATCACTCTATAAATTTTAATATTACATAGATTGCATTCATATGTATATGGGGCCCAGCCCATCCGGGTCAGACATTTTCGGTCCAGGGTAGACTCAAGCTACATTATCATAAATTCGGGTGGGGACTGGCCATGCATGAAACTAATTATTTGGCTCGGGCCTAACCAAAATTATTTCAGGCTTGGCTTGGGCCAAGGCTTTTCTGGCCAAAACTTGGTCAGTTGACAACCCTAATTTTGACAGATGCTTTGTGGAGAGTCTAAGGCTCCTAGAGAATTGCGGTGCATCATGAGTGTTGTAGAGAAGGATGGGAAAGAAATCAATAAATCAAAAAGTAACGATAAAAATAAATAGATGAAAGATTATACTCTCTCTCAGGGTCTACAAGGGAGTCCACCCCAAAAAGATCTCTTCAAAAGATCCAAAAACAAACTCTTTTCTATTCACTCTTTTTTTCCTAGTCCAATGGTAACATATTTAAGAAGGAAACAACTCTAAACCCTAACTTGCATCTTAAGAAATATTGATCAATATTAAATCTTGGCCCTTCATCTTAAATAAATAATCTTTCAAAACTGCCCCCTAAATATTTACAACCAGAAAAGACAAAAATAACCTTAAAGAAAACTAGAACCCAAAAGAACCTCAAACTTAAAATCTAGAAAACCGAAAATAAAAAATAATTAAAACTCTGTCACTTCATTCTCTCGGGGCTCGAGGTTGGGAGAAGCTCGAGCTCGAGCTTCTTGAATTAATTATATCCTCTAGAGGCCATTGGAGTAGTTGGTGATGGAGTCCTACCATTTGCCTTGGTGCCTTGTATTCTTCAATGAAACAATTGATCAAATACTTGATATCCAACTTATAACGAGCCTCTGGAATCCCCAACTTAATCTTGCTTTCTCCTTTGAGCTAAAAGGGTTGTATTTCAAAAACCGCAACTACTGTATTGTCTTCTTCCTGATTGATTGTTGAAATTTGTAGCACTTTTGAGTTGTTGTCAACATCTTTTGTCTGAGATTTACCTCTTCATGTTCTTGTTCTTTCTATTGCAATTTACTAAGACATGTAGACCTTGTTGTATTACTTTGCTAATATGGTCTATCAGGTTCTTTGAGTCTCTCAAATATTTGATCCAGTCAATCCAAATGCTCTATAATTGGATCAATAGATGTTGTGATGGTATCATGATGTATGGATTTCAAGGCTTTGATACCAATTGTGCAGAGAAGGATGGGAAAGACATAAATATATCATAAAATAAAGATAAAAATGAACATATGAGATATTATACTTTCTTTAAGGTCTGTAAGGGAATCCACCTCAAAAAGATCACTTCACAAGGTCAAAAAACAAACTCTTTTCTCTTCACTTTTTTTAACTTGCAACCCTAAGAAATCCTAATCAATACTAAATTCTAGCCCTTCATCATATATATATATATATATATATATATATATATAAACAACTACTTCCAATACCACCCCTCAAATCTCTACAACAAAAAAAACAAATATAACTATTAAAAAGACTAGAAACCCAAAAAAACCCCGAACCAAAAAAATAGAGAACATTAAAATAGAAAAAAACTCAAACGCCCATTATTAGAGAGAGAGCTTTGATGGGGTCTTCTGGAAACTGAATCTGTTGTCATTTGTAATTCCACATAATCAAAATAGGTATGAAAAAAGATAGGTGAACGTTTGGTTCTTTATGAGGCCCTTCATTGTGGGATGGGAAATCACTTGTCATCAAATAGGTCTGCGAAAAGATAGATTACATTTGGAGATTAAGTATCACTATGGTTGAGGTTAAATTTCTATATTATTGCCATGCGTGTAGAGAAGCTAAATTTAAAGGCAATGAGTTTGGCAGAGAACATAGTGACCTTGAGAATAATGATTTTGGGATAGTAGGAATATATTAGTAACATGGCCCCAAGACTAATTTAACCACCAAAACTGTGTGTTTTTGTAATTTAAAATCCCTTGTTAAAATCTCTTTTGATGGTTGAGATCTATGAAGACCTCTGCCTTACTTAGCACAATGCAGTACATACATTGGGATCTGGAGCTTATGAAAAGAAACTAATGAATGATCTTTATTGATGGACTCAACTTGATTGTGCTTTCATCTCTGTCTATTTAATGCAGGCATATAGTTATAGGGTTTCATCCGTTGATCAATTGCCAAGGGCATAAGAACATTATGAAGACCAAGCTTTTTCAGCCATTGCACCATATCTTTCAAAAATATGAGGTGGTGAGCCCCAATCACATCATGCACGCTCACACACATGTATACATTCATTCTTCATTTACTCTATGATTTCTGTCCTTTGAGTAGTCTCCATCATCTGATCTGAATGGCAAACAGTAGAGATGAACTGCTCCTCCACCATTGTCTGCTTAAGTTGAGGAACTGTTGATCTCCAGCATCCATCATTGAGAAGTATGGTGAAGACACTTTCATGTACAAATATCATATTACATGTACTGCAGTTCTCTTTCCATATATATATATATATATATATATATAAAAGAAGATACTACAAAACGCTTATAGGTGAAAATGAACAGTGATTTCGTCTATCCTCATCACCGTCCAAAGTTCATTGTATGGCCACGATTGTCCGGTAGTGTTTCATTTTTCTTTTTTTTTTTACAAATCGGAATGACTTGAAATTTGGAGCGTGTGTTCATAAAAAATAGGCAAATCTACAAAAAATATAAAAAACATATTTTACATGAAAAACAGTGGCCAAAATACCCCCGAAAAATTTCTGGGGTATTTTGGTCAATTTTTGGCGAATTATGTTTTTACTATTTTATTAGGTGCGCCTCACTAAGATATACATACGCTCCAAATTTCAAATTATTCCGATTTGTAGAAAAAAAAATGAGAAATGAAACACTAACGGATAATTGTGGCTGTGCGATGAATTTTAGATAGTGACGAGGGTAGAAGAAATAGCTGTTCATTTTCGCCTATAGGCGTCGGGAAGATTTTTGTCATATATATATATATATATATATATATAATGATGTGTTTATTGCAAAGAAAAGCATATTGCCGTGCATTATGATTTACAAAGAGTAAACTATACATTACATGAACTGCCCAATGTCAACAACGAATGGTTGATGTGAACCATCCTCCTCTCAATGTCCACTTCCACAATCTCATTGGTCCGATGTTGACAGCAGATAGTTGAGGTGTTTAGTGTTTGTAAACTACATGCATCCAAGCCCTTACTACTTTTTTCTTCTTGTACATGTATTTTGTTCAGAATGTGTACCTGAGCAGGCAGGAAGGAGCTGGTCATTACATAAAGGAGGGGACGACTGCTTATATTGGGAATCCAATTCCTGCAGTTGTATGCAATGGCATAACATGCAATAATGCTTGCTGCATTGAGTGAGTTTTGTAATTTTATTATCTTGTTTGGCTTCTTAGGCAGAGAGAAACAATACCAAGGATGCATTTTGTGAAGTATTATGACCAGATCTGTGACATCTGATTTTTCATGATGATTTTGGACACCGCACCCGCCCCCCATCCCCCCAGAAAAAACCAAAAATAAAAAAAGAAAAAAAAGAAAGAAAAAAGAAGAAGAAAACTGTCTGTGTGTACAATTATCAAATTTTATCTAGTCATTTAATGTAGCTCTTTGTTGTGTCTCAGAGGAATGCATAATGGATTTCTGCTCCATCGGGTTAGTCCCTTGGAAATGGTATGTATGCAAGTCATGATTGCTTTACTTGATTGATTTTAGGAAAAATTTCGTCTAGATCCCTCAAAATTTGTTAATTTTCATAGTAACCCCTCCCTTATTTTTTCTATTGCGTGGCATTAATTTTTATAAGTATCATCCCATCCCTCCTGACATTTTTCATATTTTGTCTTTATTTTTACTTCACCAACTTACCTCAATAACTCCCCTTCCTCATAGCTTGCTTTTTTGAGGGACAAGGGGGACAATGATTGGGAAAATATTGCATATTTTGTTTGGGGCAGTTATTGGGGTAAAGATAACATAGAAAGGGGAGGGTATGGGAAGGGGTGGGATGATATATACTTCTAAAATTTAATTGTGCATGATAAATAAAATGAGATATGAGCTATTATGATTTTTTTTTTTTGGAAGGGTTCCTACAAATTTTTCACTTGATTTTGTTGCTTATTTGACTGAAATCCACGGACATGTAATCTTTGTCCGTGAATATCCTTTAACATAAAGTTATGCTTTTACATGGCAGGAATCATACTACATCAATTCAACAGGCAAGATTGTGTTCAGATCGACACTGTATCAAGGGAGAAAAGAGGTTATGTGATAATGACTCTCATTATTTTGTTTCGAATAATCATTCATTTTCTTGGCCAAGTATCATTCTTTACCCTCACAACAATACCGTCCGTCTTTGAAATGAAAAGTTAAGATGCCATTTACCTTTGTGTTCCACAGTTTATCCAAGTAAAAATAAAAACAAGAAAAATCTCACAGTTCTCGACAAAAGAATTAATTTTTCTCATGGTATTTCTTGAAATTGAATATATTTGCCCGTTTATTTCTTGTTCACATTTTCGGGGTTAATGCACTCCTATTATTAGCTGGCTAAACTTGTATGGTTAAATTTCACAAGATATCGAATGCAAATTAGTTGTCATATTGGTTTTTAGATTGTCCCTTGTTTTGTATTTGGGTAAACTACAAAAATGGTACATCAATGGGGATTTGGGCCCTACCATTTGGTGAGAATGGAGTGAGACCTCACCATGGAACTCGGCAACCTCACCATGGAATTCGGTAATACTACCGCCCAAATCCACAAAATTCTCACTGTCTTTACCACTTTGAGAATGGCCAGGGCTTTGGCGCCATTCTCAAAGTGGGAAAGACCAAGGATTTTGTGGATTTGGGCCCTACCTTTTAGTGAGAATGGAGTCTATGACTTCATCATGGAACTCAACAATACTATCGCCAAGACTCCAGGCCAATCTTGAAGTAGTAAAGACAGTGGGGATTTAGGCGTGGCCGCACGAGCTCCAAAGTTTGTATCCCCATGGGTATTGTCCCTCTCTCCCCAGAGGGAAGGGCCTAAAATCTCCTCACTATCGAGCCCCAAAACTCAATTCTCAAGATAATGGAATTACCAAAAAATTTATAACTAAATTATGGGGCACATTCCCTCAAACAAAAGCAACACGATTTGTGCTCTTATTTCAAAATTTGATATCTACTTAAGAATCATTAAATGGTGAGTCTTTTGAATTTTTAAATTTTTTTTTTCAAACTTAAATCTCCATCCCCAAAACTTTGGACGGTATTTATTCAATCTTGAGAGGTAATTTTTTAATTTTTTTTTAACATCATTCGCCTGTTTTTTGATGCCTTTTTGGATGCCTTTTTTTTTTTCACATAATTGGGTTAGTGAATAGCTTGCTCGTGAGAAAAACAAATTTGCTTTTCAAAATTATCATGCCCGCTGGGTTGGATCTGAATAAGCGCGATCTGACTAGGGAATTGTTGGTCTGTGCCAGTTCGCTGAATATATCGGAAATTAGGCGTTTCCTGCTATAAATGGGCCACTTTTGATACGTTATGAAAAGGAACTGGTTTTTTTTTTTGAACTATTTTACTTAATATCCCGGTATGCGGCACCTCTAAGTGGATGGCCTCACACCCACTTGGTGCAATGGGAGATAGCCCAAACCTAACCGGCTCACGTTTGATTTGCCTTGCCCTTTTCCTTCCAATGCCTTTTGAAACTGCTGACAATTACAAGGGATTTCTCTTTTTATAACTCGCGACTCTATTTTGCTTATCGCCTTGAAGGATTTACATGTGACCCATATGTGACATATTAAATCGGTTGGGTCATGTATAACTTTTTGCCTTTTATATGACCATTCTCCTTTGTAAGAGAAAACACTATTTATGAGCAAGAAGAGTTGGCAATGAATATTTCAAAAAACATAAAAAAAAAAAAAAAAGAAAAAAAAAAGAAAAAAAAGAAAAAAAGAGGAGTTGGCAATGAGTCCATGGTGGAAGAATTATCTAATTATTTCCCATGTCGCCTAATTATATCCTGATCAAATCCATTTGCCGATTCTCTATATTTAAGTTTTATCGATTTTTACTTTATTATTATTTTTAAATGATCTAGTTTCTTGGATAGACCATATTAAAAAAAAAGAAAAAAAAAAACAAAACAACAAAAAAGAAAGCAAAACCACAGGTTATCCATCCGAATGGGCTTGCTCAATTTGAATGTAATCCCTCTTTTGTTCACTAAAATCACAAAATCAGTATAAATTTTTTGTAAAAATATTGTATCAAAATTAGTATAAAAAATAATCAGTAGACAATCAGACAGAAAATGACGTCTCAATATTCATGTCTTTTTACAAAATACGAGAAGTTCATAATGCATTACACCCATTTTCGGGAACAAAAAATAATAATGTTTTTAATGATTTCTAATAATTATTTTAATTTTTTTGGAATTCATAACCATAAATCAAATGCGGTATTACATGGAGCTGCATTTTTTCTTCAATTTTATATAAATGTCCAACACACACTCCTTTTTTTATTATTTTCTCATGTTATATTTTCTTATGTTTCAAATATGAGCGTAATAGTTTATTTTATTTTGGAAGGGTAGGGCTCTCCGATAGCTGGGGGTTCATTTTTGGATGTGAAAGCTATGATGTTTGGGACATTGAACCGTTCAACTTTAGGGCAGTCTGATGTTTGAAAAGTTGGATCGACCCAAAATGATTTCATAACTGTTAGGCAATTCTACACTTCCCATAAATAAAATACGATAAAATAAAAATTGGTCCGATGTTTGCAACATCATACCAAAGCCATAAGTGAAAAAAAGAAGAAAAATGCGTGCGCGTTGAACATCCACATAAAATTAAGGAAACATAATGCATATTTATGATATAGACGTGATTGTTGCAAAATTTTTTAATTCCTGATTAGGTTTATTTGGCTAATCTGGATTAGTGATCCATAGTCATTTTCTAAACAATGAATCCATCTTGTGGAGCCAGATTTTCAAATATGAAAAATTGTTTCATACGGGTTAGACCGCATTTCGACAATATGCGGTCCGAAGGTATAAAGCATCCATCTTAAAGATGGATGCAAATAGGTGGTCCATCTAAATAACGAGTATAACTCACAGTCCAAATATTTTATAATATAATTATTATTTCTAGTTTTTTTATTTTCCTTTTCATATTCATATTCATATTCTCCATGTTAAAGATGATATGTCGTCTAAAAGTTTAGGATCAAATTATATTTAAAATATATATTTATAGAAAAAGTTTATATAAGGTTACAACTTTAAAATGTTGAATTACAGATGCACCTAAAAAATCCATCGGAAAAAGCTATTTTAATGTTGAAAAACATTGTGATTGATCATCTCGACATCGAGATGTATGACTATGAAAAATAAAAAAATTTTGAGACTAAAAAATAATGCATCTTACAACATATTATCTGCACCGTCCATTTTTAAGATTTTCTTATGTTTATAGATCTACTTGATTTTAACCATTTTTAAAATTTAAAATTTTATAATTAAATATAAAAATATATCTTAAAATAATCCTAAAAAAATATTACATCAAAATTATATAAAAATATATCTTAAAATAATCCTAAAAAAATATTACATCAAAATTATCTATTATGATAAAATTTGAAGGTAGGAATTGGATTGTTTAAAGTTGTAACCTTATAAAAACCGCACCCTATATTTATTACCAAGCCCGTTTTTCTGCAAAATGCCCCGCTGGCCGCATAGAAACCGTGTCCATCTTGATCATTCCAATGACAAATGTAAAGGGCAAAAGATTTCCTATTCCCGCAGGAGTATATTAACTATTTACTTCCTAAAAAACTCGGGATAGATATACTTTTTAGAGCTCAAATTTTAGGGACGGACATTTTACAGCCCATAAACAATTCTCAATGAAAAAGTTTTTAAATAAACTGTCTATATACTAAAAATAATAATAAGAACTCAAGTTTGAATAGAGACTCTCCTAGTTTTGAAGAGGTAGGTAAAAAATGTTAGGACACGATATCTATTCGGCCAGTCCCTCTTTCCTAGAAATACGAGTTTGACAATAAATATATTTTTCAAATATCATTTGATTTTAATTTTTAGAGAATATATAATCTTTTAACACGGAGATCATGAATATGAAAAAAAAAAAAATTAAAAATTAGAAATAGTAATTTTATTAAAAAATATTTGGATGGTTAGTTACACTTGTTTTTAGCTGGACCACGTATTTGTATCGATTTTTAAGATGGATGCTTTATACCTCTTGGACCTTGTAGAAATATGAAACAATTTTCCAAAATGTTAATAAGACTCAAAACTCAAATTTTTTATTTTGAAAATAAAACTCAAAATAAAAAAATTTTCTTTTTAAAACTAATTTTCGAGTAGTCCTATGTGATTCCCAAAACTTTAGACTAAAATACTTTCTCTAAATAAGTGTTTTGTGTGAGGGAGTAGACCTGCTCGGTGTCAAATTCGAGATAACTCAAAGAGATAAAATTTTCAGCCATACGATGAGATCAAATTTAGAATCTGGACCCTTCATCATCGCCCTTGGAGAAACACGCGGCGGATGTTGGCCCAGACAAACCCTAAAAACACAGAACTGTTAGCCCTAAAAATTGACGGGCTACAAATTGGGGGTTTCACGGAAGCTTTCTCACTCATGAGTTTAAGTCTGAGGCTTAGAGAGAGAGAGGATGGAGGGCTGCCCCTCTTTAAGCCTGTGATTCCTTACCAGAGAGCTTTTCTACTTTCTCTCTCTAAAATGCCATTGGCATTAATGCAGCTCCTGTGAGAGAAACTGGCAACCCTAAAGGCCCTTCTTCTTCTTCTTCTTCTTCTTCTCCTTCTCCTTCTCCTTCTTCACTATGAGGCGATGATGATTATGCAATTTTCTTCTTTTCAGTAGAGTTTCTCTCTCTAAACTCTGGCAAGGCAGCATGGACGGTCTGGAATCTCTCTGGTTTCAGACAACCGCTGCAGCCTTGAGTTATAGAGAGCCCAAATGTCTGATAAAAGGCGAATCTGAGCCTCCTCTCTCATTCACCGTAGCCTGAAACCCTAATTGAGAGAGAGTGAGAAATCCTTTCTTTCGAGATTCGAATAGGTAGTGTTTTCAAACTCTTGTCTCAAATATTTCACTGTTCTTCATTCAAAGTTTATCAGCTGGTTTGCATTTTGAATTGTTATTTTCAGTGGGCTCTTTGAGGATGAGATCTCTCTCTTTCAGAAGGCTATTATCTACTTTTTTTTATAATGTATAAACAGGGGGAGTAAATAACCCCCCCCTCTCCAAAACACCATCCCCCTTGTCCATGTAGAGAGAGAGAGGGAGAGGGCTTATTGTATATAGTCTCTAGGCTAGGATGTTCTAGAGAGAGGGAGAGGTCCTCTGGACTAGTATGTTCTCTCTCTTGGCTAGAATGTTCTTGCAATCCATGGAAGAGGATAGAGTGATACAGATTCTCTCTCTAAAACCCACGATTCTCATGACCCAAAATATTGAGCAATTTCAGAGAAAGAGCCAGAGAGAACCCAATGTTTCTCATGACCCAAAATATTTACCAATTTGAGAGAGCGAGAGAGAGAGAGAGCCCATGTTTCTAGAGAGAGAGACAGATATAGGGAACCCATATTTCTCATGACCCAAATATTGACTAATTTTAGAGAGAGAGAGAGCCCATGGGTCTCGTGACCCAAAACATTGACCAATTTGAGAGAGAGGGCATAGAATACATAACAGGCCTCTGCAATTACTCATTATAAACTATGCAAATGCATCAAGACTTACTCCACATTATTAGTGAAACCAATCCCACCCCACTAACCAGTGAAAATATTCAAACTTGAAAAAGTAAACTGCACATTGGACCAACATGACCCTTTGCAATAACACCAAACCTAACTCTTAAAACTCAATCTTTCTATATAAATAAATCAAAAGACAACAAAGTGGAAACACAAATTCATTCAAAACATTTGATTGGAGCCTTCATTCATTTTGGAGGATGGAGAGGTCTCTCTTCATGTTTTATCATTTGCCCAAAATGGATTTGATCCACCAAATGCCTTTTGTGTCTTTTGGGCCATCATCTTCAGAAGGGGGTGGTGGGTCAGAGTGAGTGCTTCTTTTGAGTTTTGATATGTCATAGCCTTGCTCCTTGGCCTTATCAAGGAGTTGGTTATAAACCTCCTCATCCATCTGGTTTTGCCTGCAAAGAATCTACAAAAATAAAATTCACCCCACCCCAAACTCATCAGCAAAATGCCCACTCTTTTCAATTTTTATTAACTAACTACTCGCATAGATGCTCATTCAAGGACTACAAATATAACAAAGGAGAGGGAGAGGAAAATCATCAAAATAAATAGGGTGAGGTTTGTATAGGCTCTAAACAATCAAATTAGTGTCGAGAAATGTGGTTTTAATATTGAAAATCTTTGTGATAGCTTTAAAATATATATTCATATTTATTTATAAAGTTTAAAGCTATTCATATTTATTTATAAAGTTTAAAGCTTCAAAAATAGTATAGATCCATAGATCTCCGAAAACTTAAAAATTGACTGTCCTTATAAAATACATTATTTTTAATACTTAAAATCCAATTTTTTCTCATGTTCATGAGAGGGTCGGTTTGAAGAAATTTGAGCATCAAAACAACTTCTTCTAGCGAAATTTTTGATGCAGGCTCAAATTTGATTGTTTGAAGCGTTTTCTCAAATAATAAAGACTCACTTTGTATAACGAGTGAACCTTATGACCCTCAACGCCAGAATCTTGACTTCTAATTAAGCATTTAAATATAAATTTATATATAATTAAAAATCTTAAAAACTAGAAGGTCTGGATAATATATTATAAAATATATATTTTAAAAAATTATAATTCATCTGTCCTTCAGGTGGATTTTTTAGGTACACCTTACACCTGCGGCTGATGCCTTATATAAGCCTTTTTCAAATGATTAAGACAGGCAAGAGGAACCATTTATCAAATAATAAAATATGATCACAAGCCCAGTGAAATATCAAAAGGATGGGGTTCGTATGAGTCGGCCGACTCATATTTACATAAACGGCCCCCACTAAAATTCATTTTAGATGATTTTTTTTTTGGATAGATTCATCATCCGGGCCAAGATGATCATAAATATATGAAAACAAAAATAAACTTTTTAAATTAAAATTATAATGTTTTTAGTAATTTTTTTGTGCACCATCGTTATCTTGCGCCCGCTGACTCATCAAACAATTTTCCATAACAAAAACAGAGTAAAAATATCGCTCACAAAAACAGAGGGGGGAAGAGAGAGCGAGAGAGAGAGAGAGAGAGACATACCCACAAGTACCTCCTAGATGGCTGGCCAATCAAGGCATACTGATAATCCTCATCCAAGTACATAACCCAGTAATCCCCAGTCACAGGGATCACAGGAAGGAAAGGAGGCACATAAAATTTCACCTTCAATTTTGCCTCATCACTCTTTGGATCAGCCTTATAAGCACTTCCCTCAATATAACTCCTCTTCCCATCAAGCCAAGTCTCATTCAACACATTAACAGTTCCATCCTCCTTCAAAGTATAAGTGGCCCTGGTGTTTATCCCAGTTTTGGGTTGGAACCTTGATGGAAAAGAAGCAATTTCATACCATCTCCCCATGTATGTCTGCAAATCTATGCCCCTCACCACTTCTATCTTCTTATTTGCCATTTTCTCTCTCTCTACTGGAAACAGAGATTTCAGCAAACTTCAGAGAAATGGGTAGTGAGAAAAGATGAGAGATTTTGACAAATTTCAGAGAAATGGGTAGTAAGAGAAGGCAAATTTAGATGAATTGCAGGAGCGAGGTGGGTTTTTAGAGAGAGAAAGGAAGAAATCCGTAGTGAGAGAAAGAAGAAATTTGCAGAACTGTTATTGGTGAAATTGGAAGTGAGGGAAAGGAATTAAAGAAGGAGGTAGCAGATGCGAAGCTTTAGGGTTGAGATAAGGTGCTAAGCTGGCACGTGTGGATCTGGGGACTCGTGTCTAGTTTCAGCCGGTCAAAAAAAAAGTACAAGTTCTTTTTCTTTGGAACCAGGTTTTTATGAGTCCTCCGACTCATATTATTTTCATGCGGGCTCTCTTGATTACGTATTATTTGTATCGATTTTGGATCCAAATTTGCAGTGATCCATGATCTACACTGTGATAATCATGAATATAAAAAATAAAATATAATAAAATAAAAATTTTAGTTTTTTTATTAAAATATTTTCTTACCCATTGGATAGGAATCTTTAGTTGTATATGTTCATCATAAGAACGTTTGTGATTGTGCGGGCTAGTGAGTCCGCTTACTCACAAAACACTCTTTTCTTTGCTGCCAAGGAAACAGAATTGTCAATGGTGGTTTCTAGGGTGTTCTTTGATGTCACGGATAAGCTGGTTTTCTTGGAAAATAATTCAAAGAAATAAATGTTTCAAATGTCCATTCTTCTACAATGAATATCCTACGAGTCCTCTTGGGAAATCGACATGGATAAGTACTTTAGAAATTATTTTTATGAGATTTTTATTTTTATGGTTAATATTTTATTTATTGTTTTTGACCAAATTGCCTTGCTTTGTTGAATTTTCATGATTTGAATTTCCACTTTGAAGGTCTGAAGTTGTTTTAAAAACATATCATTGGGTCCTATAAAAAAAATAGAGATAAACTTTAGATTCTGAAAGTCCAAAATTTGTTTTTGAAATCGAAGATAAACTTCATAGTTCTAAGATTGTTACTAGGACAATTTGAGACTACACTTAAAAAATAGTGAACTTCAGACCTTTAATGTCTATCGTTTATATTAAAATAAATTCGGACTTTGAAGATACAAATTAAGTGTATGACATCAAGGATTTGACTGTACAGTTAAAACTTTGGTATTTCAAAGCTTTGAAGTACGAATAATTTGTTTTTTTTTTTTGTAAAATTAAAAACTTGGAAGGAATATTTTAAATAATGGGAATAGGAGAAAATATACCGATGGATTTCGCAAGAATTTGACATTTGTGTCAGCGTGGGTCGAAAAGCAGAACTTGACTACTGCAATGAGTTCAATGCAAATATTATCTTGGAAATGAATTTTGGTAGTATATTTTAAAGTAAATGGCAGGGTTTTGGTGGGTCAGCCAACTCACCAAAATAGGTGTCTCCTAATGCATCACATGTCCATCTTAGAGATGGATGTAAAAAAAAGCACTTTCACTATATTCCTTATTTGCTTAAATATGTGTGGCATGTACCAGGATGCACGGTTCTTAGACTTGGTCGACTCGACTCGACCTCGGCCAAAGAGGCCTGAGTTAATGGTACAAGTGATGTTATAACCTTTCAATGATCCTTTCAATGATCAGGCTTTAGAGCAAATTTGCAAGACTTGGTTCTTATAAACCCAAATTGAACGAGATTTGATCACTTTATTTGTGTTTTTTTAGGGTTCTTTGAGTGTTATAAAAAAATTCCGCCAAACATCTCCACTTTATGATTTCTCTATCAAATCGATTGATTGATGATTTGTTTTGAATCTATTGAAATAATCTACAAAAGTTATGTATTGATTCGTAAATCTATCAATTTTCATCACCGTAATTATGTGTAATTACATTTCTTCAAGTGAAAAAAAGAAATTTATGCCAAACATCTTTGTTCTTGCTGATTTCGTGCATCTAAGATGTAATATCGATAAAATGTCTAAAAATCACCAAATCTATTATTTATCTCTAATTTCTCAATAATTTTTTATTATTAATAATTTTTTAAGCTATTGAAATAAACTTGAAAACCCCTCTATTGTTTTTCGTTTTTTTGGTGTAATATTGATTGATTTAGTGTATCATAGAGGTAATATCAATGAACAGTAAAATTTTTGCTAAATCTGTTGTTTCTTTCTAATTACTCAACAATTTTTTTTTTTGGTTTGTTTGAAGCTATTGAAATCAGCTTCAAAAGCCCTCTACAGATCTATAGTTTTTTTTTTTGACATGTATGGCTATGAGGCCTTACGTGTCTTAGCCTACATTTGTGGGAATTCTATATATCCAACGGTCATATCCATATGATCGTAACCCTTCGTCTAACGGTCATATCCATATGAATACATTTGTGGGAATTCCATATATCCAACGGTCACATCCATATGATCGTAACCCTTTGTCTAACGGTCATATCCATATGAACGTAACCCTTCAAAAACACGTTGGAGATCAGGAAACCTTTTCGTTTCTCAGAGACCCATTGGATAAATACAACGGTTATCCCTTCTTCTCCCTATAAAATAGGAAGCCAGAGAGAGGATGTGTACAACGATGAAAATACGTACATCTCTCTAAAAAGACCCTTCTTATCCCTATAAAATAGAAAGCCAGAGAGAAGATGTGTACAATGATGAAAAGACGTACATCTCTCTAAAAGGCGAAGGGATAAAAATCTGAGCTCTATGATCACCAGCCTCATGGCACCCCTTCTCTGATCTCGGGTGTGATCTTATACACTCTCCATCAAATTTTACTAACAATGGTATCAGAGCAACCAGGTTCCATCTTTTTTAATTTTACTCTGAATTTTAACGATAGAGATTATGTGATTTGTTTGTTACGATATATGCCCTATTTTCGTGTATCAATTGTGCAACCGTGATTATGTGCCATATGTGGTATAAACATTAATATGTGACCATATACCATAATAATTATGTCCATAATTTACACGTAGGGACACGTTATAGTTGAGTTTTGGCTTGGCTTGGGACATCTCTTGCTTGAGAGAAAAGAATCCCCTTGATTTTTCTATAGATAGATATCTATAAATATATATACATATATATTCATAAGTTTATTTAAAGATTTATGTCGATATCAAAAGATTAATCAGAAGATGATCTAGAGTTGTCATCGACAAATAGGAGTTGCTTTTTTTTTTTTGTTAGCACTTTAAGGGGATGATGTACTGACGATACATCATAATGAATTGATGTTAAAAAATAAAAAATTAAAATTAAAATTTTTTTTTGCATAGCCAAAATTTGGTGACAGAAATGGAAGAAGATAGCGGAATTGATTTCTTGAGAGAGAAACGTTCAGTGCTTGTTGTTTTGGGTGTTTTTTTTAGAGAGAGAAGAACAGTGAAAATTCTCCTTGTGACAGTAATGAGGTTACAGATTACTTGAAACCCAAGTCTCTCTCTATTACATGGAATGAGAAACCTCTCTTTACCTTGAATGAAAATACCCAATTCACAATCTTCTCCAAATCCCAACTTTTTGAAAAAACAAAATAAAATTCTTTAATTCAATGCCCCTTAAAGATACTGTGACATGGAACATCTTCATCTCTGCTTCTACAAAACAAGCTTATTTCGATTCATCTATGCAACTCTTTGTAGAGATGCTAACTTCTCATTATCACCGTGATGCTTTCACCATTAAAGCAGTTCCAAAGGCAATTTCAGGCCTGAATCATCTTGAATTTGCTGAACAAATTCAAATTCGTGGCTTTCTCTTCAAAGCAGCCGAGTTGTACTTTGATCTTGTCATTATCACAAACTTAATTGATATCTACATAAAGAACAGCTTAATTGAAAATGCACGCCAATTGTTTGATCGAACCCTAGAGAGAGATGTAGTGGTGTTTACAGCCATGATGATATGTCCATTTGAGATTATATCTACTGAGATTGCAATTACAATTGCTAAAATTCCATTGATTTGGTAGGAGAATGATGGAGTTATGGCAGACTATGTATGTGCATGTGCATGCATGTTCCTATGTGTATGAACCATGTGATGCAAAATGCACATGAGCATATGTATTAGCCACAGGACGTGTGTTAGGTTAGATTTGATGAATGAATACTCTGTTATTTCTGGTGTACAGTTTGTACATTATTGATGGAGTCACAGTCTATAAAGCCTTGATTTTAGCACCATTGTGTGTATGTCTTGAAGAGTGGGAGTAATTCTCAATAAGCTTATTATATGTGGATGATATCTTGATAGCTGGAAATGACTTAGAAATGATTGATAAAACTAAATAATTCTTCTCAACTTGATATGAAATATATGGGATAAGCATCTTATATCCTAGGCATAAAAATAACTAAAACAAAAAAAAGAAAAAAAAAAAAAGAAAAGAAAAAAAGGTTGTGCTTGAGCCAACTTGAGTATGTTCTCAAAAGATTTAAAATGAAAAATTGTAAGACATTGTCTACTCCTGTTGAAAATGGAGTAAAGTTGTCTAGTAAGGATTGTCCAGTAGAAGGACAAGAAAAGCGCAACGTTCCATATGTACAAGCTATTGGTAGCTTGGTATATGCAGTAAGATGTACAAGACCAGATTTGAGTTATACCGTAGGACTTGTTAGTAGATACCCAAATAATCGAGGCATAACTCATTGAAAAACAACAAATTTTTTTTTAAGGTACATTAAGGGAACAAAGCATCTAAAATTATGTTTTCAAGCAGATAAGCTTGAAGTTGTAGGATATTTAGATGCAGATTTTGTTGGGGATAAGGATGATCGTAAATCCACCTCAGGACATATTTTTCTCTTTGGAGGGGCAGTGGTTCTTGATCTAGCAAGAAACAAGGGTGTGTAGCTAGGTACACATAGGAAGCAGAATACATTGCCCGTAGCACTACTTGTATTTTTGCCGTCTGGATAAAGCACTTCATAGATAACTTGAAGCTGCAAATAATCAACGGACCAATCCAAATATTTTGTAATAATCAAGTTGCAATTAAATTAATTCAAAGTGGAGCAAATAGCTCTAAAGGAAGATATATGGATATCCAATATCACTACATTCAAGATGTAGTTGATAAATGCGAAGTAACTGTTAGTTACTTGCCCTTATCAGATATGATCGTTGATCCATTAATAAAAGGTCTAAGTGTTGAACTACTGTCTTAGCACACTAGTTTAATGGGACTTAAAAATGTTTTAGTCAGACATTTTTCATGAGTGAGAAATCCG